ATACGTGTATGCGTAGGTTACACGTACACGTAAGCAGTATTCGCGTAACTAAAGCTGTCTAATAAACCGATAAACATGACGTTTTTTTTAAATTAAATCCATGTATTGTTCGAATATTAGAGAGGTTTAGCAAACTCACTTGTACATGTAAACTTTTAGTTAGACTTACACCTACACGTTAACATTATTTTTCTTGGTTAGCAAATTATAACCTGTACTTGTTCTTGTAATGAAGGATATGGAGACAACGAACAGTATCCAATATCAAAGTCCATAAAACAAAACAAAATAGGAGCAGAGCAAACACATCTCCAAAACATCAAAGGTGGGATCAGGTGCCATGAAGGAGTAAGCATCCCCTGCTGACCGGTCACACCCGCCGTGAGCTCCCCGTCATGATCGGGAAATAACGGAAAAATCCGTATTCAATTCAGTGTATAAATAATGGACTAACAATTAGTATGAAAAACGTCAGTCAGCATTTGACTCAATGATAAATTGTTTTTGCTGACAAGGTCATTGTATCGACCATAGAACTTACGAAACGATGACATTAAACGAGACTGCTGATATTATTTTTTGATCAACAGGTCCAGTCCAAAGACTATTTCTACCTACGTAGCTATTAATAGCTACCTAGGTATTTAAAGCTACCAAAAGTAGCTATTTTTACCTACTTTATATAATTTTTGCATTTTGCGACCAAAAGACCAAACGGCGCAACATGGTGAATGCCATATTTTTTGATACGGTCACACTAATGATGAATATGACAAAATTTTGGCCAAAAAATGATTACTTCCTAAATCGGCGATTTTACATTAGTTTCTATGCAAAATTGAAAATATACGAAGTTTTCATTTTTTCACCAAATTTTTGTCATATTTATCATCAGTGTGACTGTATCAAGAAATTTTGTGCTTACCATGTTGCGCCGTTCTTGCATTTGGCCAGAAAATGCATGTACAGCAGAAAGTAGGTAAAAATAGCTACTTTGGGTAGCTTTAAATACCTAGGTAGCTATTAATAGCTACGTAGGTAGAAATAGTCTTTGGACTGGACCTGATCAATTGTTTGTCAATAATTTACCTCGTTTTAGAAATTGTTCATACGTAGAGCATGCTCTTGCGTATCGAATCATCAGAGATATATAAACTCCGTATGCAGGTGATGAAAGTATATTGCTGCAGAAGTAAGGGAAGTTGGTGATAGTAAAGTGTTTTAAATGTATAAGTGGTTAAGATTTAAAAATCATCCGAAAAAACAATAATTTTTATACGTACATCACCGTTTTACACATATGAGAAGAAGATTGTACAGAGCTCTTATATTTTTAATCGGTCAAAGCATGTTTCGGCAATCTAGATGTTGCGGTTTTAACTCCCTCACACAAACTTGTTCAGTAACAACTGCATGTGATGGGAAATTCTCCTAAAACCTATACTAGAAAAATCCATAATCCATTAATAATATTTATTTAAAAGAAAAGCATTTCTATTGTATATTGTATTGAATTTAAAAAAAAAAAAACTTTTTTTGATATAATTTGAATATATCCATACAAAAAGTGATTATATATTTATATAGATTTGTAATTATAACAAGTACATGTACCTGGAAACCCGTCAATTCTCTCACATCAAGATGTTGATCTTTCAATGGATTTGTCTCAATGCGTCTTCCACAACCAACCTGGTATGCCTTTCTCCAAATTATCGAATCCACATTAAATATGAAGTTGTTCAGAAGGCTAATTTGAGGGATTTTGGATTTTATTTTCTGTTCCTCTGTATTGTCAATGGAGATAACACAGGCATTAGTTCCTTTCAATCCATGATTGCTTTCTGAAGCTCTCTTTAAGTCTGAGGCACACAGAACATCATTTCCTTCTTCCAGATATCTGACCACATGCATTCGACAGGAACCATTTTTACTGTCACAAAGATCTTTACCGGATTGAGCTTCACTGAAGTTGAACTCGTTGATGGTAATAGGAAATTTGCAGAAATTGTGACTGACAAATAAAATGAGAAGTGTATAGTGGTACCATCCAGCATTGTCCGCTTTTAAGAAGATCTCTTGAAGGTTTGGAAATTGCTCTGACAGAGTTGGAAGAAGATGCTTAATGATATGAGCAACAGAAAACCAGCCCTGATTTCCATTCTCAAGGATATAGATATAGGTGTTCAAGTCAAGATAGTCTGGCAAGGTGGTGGCTGTTGGTTCAGGGTCACTGTTATCTGTAAGTGATTTCTGGCAGTATCAAATACTTACAAGAAATCTCAAAATCTATGTCTTTAGTTAAACTACCTGTGACAGTGTCTTGTGAACTTGGTACACCTGAATATTGAATTGATCATGTTATATACATATGAACACAGTATATTGATAAAGAAAGAGGGCGTATAAGGCGTGGACAATCCCCCGCTATGAGACATAATATTTCTCAATTTTCAAAATTCACAGAAAAGTTATATTTCTCTAAAATCATGTTCTCAGTAATGTCATCTTAAAAACATTTTATCATTTTATTTTACTGAACGACTTTTTATTTGATAATCTTTATTTCAAAGTTGACTGTTAAGCATATTTAGTGGAAAATGGGTTTACTAGAGCTATAAAAAATGAATTTTGAACATGAATGGGTCAAGTCTCCATTCTTCGTTAACGCTTAAATGATGGAAACGTAAATGCGAAATATATTTCATTCGTCCAAAAAATGGAATCTGAACCCATTCTATATGAAAATCGAAAATTTCTGAAAAAATGTACGCCTCAATAAACCCGTTCATTTAAATCACACTGACAGACGTCGACAATGCATATAATTCGCAGCGTAGTGGTTAAAGCGGTCGTTCTTGGACCAAACCCTGCGGTATGTAGAGAGTTCGAATCATACGTGAAGCTTTTTTTTTTTTCAAATATCTTAAAAAAATGAGTGAAAATAAATTATCAATAAAATATTAAAACAATGAAATACAGAATTAAATGCATGTGTAAAAGATGATATAAACAATTATTCAATATAATTTTGAAAAATATAACTTTTAGAATTGAGAAATGTCTTTTCGCAGAGCGGGGGATTGTCCTCGCCTTGTACGCCTCCATTCTTTTTTTTATAAGTTCTGTTAATTATATTTTTCTGCAATCAGATATGACTTGGGATATGAAAGAATTTGACTAAATAAACATAACCCTTACGAACTCATGGTAAATTGTCATAAGTCAAATTCGAGACAGGTTGTATGTCTAGCCTTGCACTTCATATTTATGCGTGCAGATTGAAAGATTCCGGGGGTATATTGTTTTGTTCTGTCTGTCTGTCTATTGTCACCTTTAACCTAGCGGCAAGCCCATAATTATTGCCCTGTCAAGGATAAGTCTTTAAGAAACTTGACATGAGTGTTCATTAAGACAAACCTTTCCACTGGTACAGACATTTTTGATCATGTGACCTTTGACCAACATTTGAAAAACTTTAACATTGGCCATAACATAACTATTGCACTTTGTTTCACAAAGTGTACGTGTAATTAACCATAGCATAATAATTTTTATGAGCCCGAATTTATTCGGGGCGTGTATTGTTTTTGTCCTGTCTGTCTGTTTGTCTGTTTCACAAACACATCTTGTTTATTTATGATAATTACTTTGAATTAACAATTTAATACAATCTGACTTATGACATTATAGAGTTACAACATATAGTAACCACTTTGATCATGTTGTTCGGTTTTTTTTAATTAATATTCATACACGTATGTCTTTATTGTGAATGCCAATTGCCATTCCTTCTTCATTTTCAACTATATCTTGCTTATGCACCAGGTTGGACTGTAGACAGTCACCTAATAAAATGAAACAAAATCATTCAGTTTCATTACATTTATGTCATAAATTTACTTTATAAGGTTTTTATTTCAAACAAATTATGATAAATGGATTTAAGGAAAGATTATTATGATAGCTTCTGAATTTGCTAGGTATCTATTATTTTAACAATGGATCTTGAAATTTTATAGTAATTTTTCATAGGAATACCATGGTTCTCCATTATTTGGAACTTTACTGTGTTGCAGACTGCGCGCGAAGCGCTTTCACATTTCGATGAGATCCTAATTATATCTCATTATATTAAAACTTTCCACATTTTAATACATGGATTCAATAACAAATGATAACATTTAATTGAATTGGTTTCTCAAACATCCACAAGTCTTAGTCTACAAATCTTCCAGATGGCTGCAGCTTCCTCAAAATTAAAATGTTCAGGTTCAGGTCCCTTAGTTGACAATAACATCAAACAATTCAAAACTTTGTTACTCAGTCTGTTTCTAAGTTGACTTTTTATTCCTTGAGTGCACTGAATCCTCTCTCACAATCTACAAAAAATAATTATGATTGCAATGCATGCAAAAAAAAAAATTGAAATAGAAAATGGATTTTCTACTAAGTTATGTAAAGTGTATAAATTTACACCTGCAGTTGATGCTGGGATAACAAGACAAAGCTTGTAGCTTTGCCAAATTGGGATACAGGTGGCTGTAATTTTTAATGAAATTCAGTAAAGAATCTGAGAGGGGCCAGTTATTTTTATTGGTGTGCATCAAAACACGGAAGGACTAAAACTCCTGTATAACTCTGTCCTCCTCTTGCATCACAGGTTTGTAATGCTCAACAATTCAAGTGCCTATAACATTTAATAAAAAAAATCAATATAGAAGCAATATCACATTCATGCAAAGCATCAAATCGACCGCAAACAAAATTTAGCATTGAAAAAAAATTTCTTTCACAATTTAAAAAGCGTCCATGCAAGGAAAACGCGTCAAGATATTCAAAGGTGAAATAGATGAATCATTTTTATTTCAGGCTGCCTTCAAAGCAAACTAAAACACCAATTATGACGATAATTGAATTTATGTATGAAAGGCGTATAGTTTATTGTGCGTAGCATTTTTGATGTTAGATAATGCATGTAAACTCCATGTCTGCTGACCATAAGTTAATTAGTAAATAGCCAATGAGTTAATGAGATAGGGTCATGTGATCAGCAGTGCGGATAAGTGGCTACATCACTTTGAATTTTGACACCCGCAAGCTGACCATTCAGTGCACGAAGCACGTGTATTTTGAAGATCTAATTCACTTGGATCGCTGAAAAAGCTAAAAAGCCTGTGCTTCGTAAGTTCATTTTTGGAGATAATATTAGTATCGTTATTATTATTTATACATTTTTGGGGGTCAGCAATTAACGCTATTTATAACGTTGCGAGGTGTCGTACCCCGAAATATGGCGTCTGGACTTAATGTGTGTATCATTGGACATTCCTATATCCGTCGATTGGAGGAATTTTGTTTGTCTCATGGGATTCATAATTTGAGATTGGATGACAGTTTTAATGTGAATTTCCGGGGCAAAGGGGGTCTCTGTTTGCGCCACCTGGGTAAATCACAAGAGCATTTTAGTGCAAGAAGGGATCTGTTTCACTTAACCTCCAAGCCCGATGTAGTATTTCTACAGGTCGGAGAAAATGATATCAGTGAATTCACTTGTTCCGGAAAACTAGCAAGAGACCTTGTATCTGTTGCAACATATCTGCGTGATGGCGTTGGTGTGAAGGTGGTAATAATCGGACAATTACTTCGACGATTGCCTTTCGCAGCCTGTCGGGACTTTAATGATATCATAGTGAAGACGAATACACAGCTGGAGTCCATGACTGAATCGGTGTCTGGGATTCACTACTGGCGCCACAGGGGATTCTGTCAGGTCTTAAGTTTCTTGGGTCCTGATGGCGTCCATCTGTGCTGCACCCCCGCACATGACCAACCCATGAGGAAGTTCCTTAGAAGCATTCGAAATGCGGTCATTCAAATGACTAAATGATTGAGGCCAGTATAAGATTATTTAATTGGCGTATAATATTTCACAGCCGATTGCTCTTGAGAAAATTAATACTTTCGGCTATATAACACTGAGTAATGTTCTGATTATATTTATAGTAAGCAGTGTATTTGCTCTGTTTATCTTTTTTCAGCCAATCAAATTTCAATGTCTACAGGCAAGCTCAATTAACGTGTTTCAGAGATAACATGTGAATAGTCGGGTATTATTTCTTATTCTTAATTAAATCCGGGTATTTAGTATCAAACAATGTTTTTAAAGCATTCATAGTGACATTTTTTTTTTATTGCGGTCTTATGAAATAACATTTTTGTGGATGTAATTTATATACTGGTATCTGAAAGAGTTTAGGCGGCTTTTTGATAAAAGCCTTCCTTTCATATTGATTAGAATGGAGAACGTTTAAAAAAGAGGGTTTCATTCCTTGAACTTTTGTAATGTTTACTTATTCTCATAAGGTCAATAGGTCTTAATACATAAATGTCAGAGGTACAATTTTGAGGTGCATTTTTATATTCTAACTGCTTATTAATTCACTGCACAGTAATAATGTCGCCGGTGTTGGGTCAGAGTTACCCAAATAGGTTTTTTTTGGTACACAATGGATATGTACTTTTTGGGTCAGTATACCCAAATATGTTTTGGTACACAGTAAATATGTACCTTTTGGGTCGGTATACCCAAATTTGTTTTGGTACACAGTAAATATGTACCTTTTGGGTCGGTATACCCAAATTTGTTTTGGTACACAGTAGATATGTACCTTTTGGGTCGGTATACCCAAATATGTTTTGGTACACAGTAGATACGTACCTTTTGGGTCAGTATACCCAAATATGTTTTGTTTCGTACACAGTAGATATGTACTTTTTGAGTCAGAGTTTTTATAAGTTTATTAATCTGGCGCACCGTTGATATGTGCCGAGTTGGTCAGTGTTACCAAAGTTATTTATTGTTTTGATACACGGTAGATATGTACGTATGGGGGTCGGATTTCTCATTATTTATCGCTAAAGGAATTTTAATTGTGCCCAATTGTTCGGAATTACACAACTTGTGATTAAAATGGTACACGTTTAAAATATATTTTATTAGTTGGAATGATTACACAAAGTTTTATTGATATGGTTCACGTTTGATTTGTACAGATTGGTAGGAATGACGCAATGTTTTATTAATATCATCACATATTTGGGTTGATGTTTGTTTTGGTGCAGAGTTGATATGTGAAGCTTTTCGTTTTCTGATAAGCACTTAATCAAATTACCTACCCGATTAGGTTACAGTGTATCTACAGGTGACTATAGGGTTTTAAAGGTGTTAAATGACAGTTAATGGTTAAACATTTGATCTAACTTCTGAATACTTTTCCTACGGTTTTTAGTGCTTTGTGTAGCAATGGTGATGAAGGGAATATACCTTCAGATATGTTACTACAGATATGTTGTGTCTTCTCTAAATAACTGTTAAAGTTACAATTACATCTTTTGAGAGGATGAGTAAGTTTTTATTTGCTGTTGCCTTTTCTGTGGTTATAATAACGAGCATTTGAAGACTTATTTTCCTGCTCAGTGGCACAGTTTAAAATATGAAATCGATACTATTAAAGTAAAAGGTCGGTATATAGTTTGATGCAGACTACGATTTAATACAAGATCAGGCTAAAAGTTAGCCAGGTACAATTATGTATTACATAAATTCAGTTATTACATGGTTTACATGTGTGTTTTCAGAGACAATGCCTCCCAAACAAGTGGGAAAAGCACCAAGGAAAAGGAGGAGAATTCAGTCCCCGGGAGACACGGTGGTAACGTCTCAGCACCTTAGTACAGCAGTACTAATTGATGCAGCACAAGAAGCAAGACAGGAACCTGTGACTCAAACACCAGGGCCCGTTGTCGTGTCAAATCAAGTACCGATTGACTATGCAGAACTAGCAAAGCAAATTCTTGCACAACAACAGCAGAATGCAACCAAACAGTCTATGACCACAGATCAAGCTTCTGCGGTGGTGCCCACTGTGGAGAGGACGTCAAGTCAAACGACTGCGCAAGATGCACCACCACTCCCTGCCGACAAATCATCATCAGCTGCCTCATCACTAACCTCCATTTTAGACACAGTTTTTGCAGTTGAGTCAGCAAGCAAGTCATATGAACATGTCCCCATTGAAATTAATGACGGTGTGCCTCTTGGAGCAATGGTATCCCCAAAAATTAAGCAAAAAATATGGAATAATGAGTATGTGGATATGCGCTTACTTTTGCCATCCACAAATGAAGAACCCCTATCGGTAACAGTAAAAGCAGGAAAAATTGAATTTCACCAAACATCTGCAAGTAAAACCCCACAATCAATCAATGGACAGATGCGTTTCACATTTTTAGTTGCATTTACTTAAAAAAATTTCCCCAAGAGGCATGCAATCTAATTAAGTACGCTTATACAGTCCGGGAAATAGCCAGGCTTCATGTTGATCAAGCCTGGAAAAGTTATGCTGAATCGTTTAGAAAAATTAGAGAATCGGCGCAATTGCCATGGGAAAAAACCCGTCACGGAGCTGCGCCTTAAAGCAGCGTCCTTGGGGGCTAGGTCACAGAATAAATCTTATTCGTATGTTGGTAAAAATCAGCCCTTTCGTTCATCCAAATTTTGTTATGCATACAACAGAGGGCAAGGATGCAATATCAAAATATGTAAATATGCCCACTCATGCCAAAACTGCAATGGCTCCCATCCCAAAACCCAGTGCAATAGAGGCAAAGCCTCTAAATCGTCTACCTCACGAGAAGAAACCCTTACCAACACCAATAAATCCGGAAAAATTACAAAATGAATTAATAGGCTACGATTCTTGCAAGTTGGAATACTTAATCAATGGCATCACACATGGGTTCAGATTAGGTTGCACAAAAACCCCATCAATTCACCCCCCCCCCTCACAATCATAAGTCTGCTCTTCAATATCCACAGGTTATTGAAGACTATATTAATGCTGGGTTATCCATTGACAGGCTTGCTGGGCCATTTATGCGACCACCACTTCCGCAGTTTAAATCTTCCCCCCTAGGCGTTGTTCCCAAGTCTGAACCCAATATGTTTAGAATTATTCATGATCTTTCATACCCTATATACGACTCTGTTAATTCCAACATTTCTAGAGAAAATACTGAAGTTCAATATGATTCTATTGATGATGTTGTCGCTCTTGTGCGTAAATTTGGTCAAGGGTCCTTGATGGCAAAATCGGACATCAAAGATGCATTTCGTATAATGCCAGTTAATTATCTTGATTATCATCTTCTAGGTTTTGTGTGGAAAGGCAAGTATTATGAACGTTGTTTGCTAATGGGGGCTAGTTCATGCCAAATATTTGAAAAACTGAGTGAAGCTTTACAGTGGGTTATGGTTACATAAACTAGGTGCTGCAGGTATGTCACATATTTTAGATGACTTTTTCTTCATAGGTCCACCAGGATAATACAAATGCAAGCATGATTTGAACAACTTTCTTCTATTGTGTAATAGAGTTAACATCCCTATTAACAAGGAAAAAACTTTTGTGCCTGTTACATCTCTGACTATTTATGGTATTGAGGTAGATTCTCAGGAGATGGTAAGTCGATTACCGCAGGAAAAAATTACAAAATGCCGCAACCTACTCCTGCAATATTGTAAGAGAAAAAAGATTACGTTAAGAGATCTTCGGTCTTTGATAGGTTTTTTGAACTTTGCTTGTTTGGTGGTAGTCCCGGGAAGAGCCTTTTTACGGCGTTTGATTGATCTAACTGTCGGTGTTAAAAAACCGCAGCACTCTATTCGATTTTCGTCTGAGGCAAGAGCGGATCTCACGATGTGGCTTCATTTCATAGAACACTTTAATGGAAAATCAGTTTGGTTCCATGAAGTCTGGGATCCTCCGATACTCTTAGTCCGTATACGGATGTTGCAGGGTCCTTGGGCTATGCGGCAGTTTTCGGTTCTCACTGGCTGGTTGGTGAGTTGGATGAAAGTTGTGCTGATTTACATATTGCAATAAAAGAGTTATTCCCAATTGTTTTAGCTTTGGAAATCTGGGGTTCGAAAATCAGCAATAAGAAAATTCTGTTTATGTCAGACAATATGGCAGTGGTGCACATAATGAATAAACAATCTAGTAAGGACAAGTTTCTGATGCGTTTAGTTCGCAGATTAGTTCTGGTCTCCTTGTCGCACAACGTTCTGTTTAGGGCGAAACATATACCAGGGAAATACAATATTATAGCAGATAAGTTGTCTCGCTTTCAATTTCAGGCAGTCAGGGAGAAAGCTCCTCACCTGGACCAGCGACCGACTTATATTCCCTCACAACTTTTACAGATCTGAACTCAGTTACCTGTTCCATTTTGGCTGCTTCTCTCACAGGAACTTCACGTACTTCATATAGACATTCATGGCGCTTATTCCAAACTATGACCAATGCATGCTCGCTACCTTTAAGTTTGCAAAATATTTGTAATTTCATCGGATATTTGTTTGAAAAGGAATACAGTGCCAGTAGCATTGCATCGCACATATCTGCTTTGAGCTATGTGCATAAACTGATGAACCTTCCCGATCCAACTCAAACCTTTATTGTAAAACAGTTACTCAAAGGTTGTCATAAGTTATTACCTTCTCAAGATTCCAGATTACCTATCACTAAAGATATCTTACAGAAACTCATTAAAGCAACTATATGTAAAATAACGGTCCCTCAAGCCTTCAACCATTCATTGTTACAGGCACTGTATCTCCTCTGTTTTAATGCGTTTCTTCGATTGGGAGAGGTTGTGGTAAGCGATAAAGATCGGGTTTTGCAGGTAGAGGATATCACATTTCATGGCAATGGGACTTTGCCGCAAAATGTTCAAATTGTCATTCGGCACCACAAGTCACAAAAGAAAAGTGAACCGATAATTATCTCTATTCAGGGAAATACGGAGAATGAGTTCTATCCTGTGTATGCCTTGCATAAGTACCGCACAATATGTCTACATTCATCAGGTCCATTCTTTCAGTTTATCGATGGTACTCCTGTCACCTACTCGTATGTCACTAATCAGCTTTCGACAGCCATAGACCTTGCAGGCCTCAACCCCAAACGGTTCAAAGGCCATAGTTTTGGAATAGGGGCAGCCACTCATGCTGCACAGTTAGGTTATTCAGAGAGTTGCATTCAACATCTCGGACGTTGGAATTCAAACGCGTTACATAGGTATATAAGCATAAAATCATTTCAACTTTAAAATGCATCATTAAATAGATAGTTAGGTGTATACAGGTCATTGATTAACTGCTGCTCGAGTTGTTCGATCTGTAATAAGGCATAGTAAGTTAGGTACCATAAAGCAAGTTAGCGATTAGCTGTTGCTGTTCATTTAATTTTATTAGCGCATGACATTTTTTTTTTCATCATTGTAATGTTAAAATTTGAGACAGGTCAGTAAATAACTGCTGTCAATATATTGGTAGCCCTTCCCTTACCCGACTTGCTTGCTGACTCATATAACGAGAATTGATAAATACTATGTCTTTCTTTTATAAAGAATTTTTATTGCATTAGGACAGGTCAGTGACTACCTGCTGTCCAGAAAAACGCATGATTGTATATGCATGATTAGGAATGTTCTCCCTTGTTTGATGATTATAAGGTTCCAGCCTTATCTTAACAGGCCAGTAATTAACTGCTGTCATAAAAGTTGGACTATTTCTTTTTAATGAATTTGAAATAGTACCTTGTTTGCAGGTCACCTTGGATGGCACGGATGTGATATTAGATCACATCTTCTGGTAAAATTTGTTTAGATGTGCCATCTTTTTGATATATTTTTCTTATCAGGTTGATTTTCTTGTCTTAAATGTACTTTTTTCTAATCATTTTTAGGGGATCAGACATTTTTATATTTTGCGTAATTTACATTCTGAGCATGTGAGTCTGATCCCCTCTTTTGTATGTGAAATTTATTGCCTTTGATTTCGTCATTTTAATAAATGACATTATTCATCTCTAAGAGCGAGTTTTAGTCAATTTTATATATAGTTAGCAAAAACTAGCTGCGGTGAGCCTGATGAGCATTGGAAGACATAAAACACCAATTATGACGATAATTGAATTTGTGTATGAAAGGCGTATAGTTTATTGTGCGTAGCATTTTTGATGTTAGATAATGCATGTTAACTCCGTGTCTGCTGACCATAAGTTAATTAGTAAATAGCCAATGAGCTAATGAGATAGGGTCATGTGATCAGCAGTGCGGATAAGTGGCTACATCACTTTGAATTTTGACACCCGCAAGCTGACCATTCAGTGCACGAAGCACTTGTATTTTGAAGACCTGCCACCTTCCCCAGCGAGCCTACCTATTTTCTAATAATTAAAACAACATATATGAATTATCTGTTTTGTTAAATTGTGACATCTCTTTCTTATATTTGAAAAAGTTTGTTTAGATGTGCCATCTTTTTGATATATTTTTCTTATCAGGTTGATTTTCTTGTCTTAAATGTACTTTTTTCTATTCATTTTTGGGGGATCAGACATTTTTATATTTTGCGTAATTTACATTCTGAGCATGTGAGTCTGATCCCCTCTTTTGTATGTGAAATTTATTGCCTTGGATTTCGTCATTTTAATAAGAGCGAGTTTTAGTCAATTTTTTATATAGTTAGCAAAAACTAGCTGCGGTGAGCCTGATGAGCATTGGAAGACATAAAAACTTTTGAAGAATTTTAAAAATAAATAAACATTTTACCGCATTTGCTCATAAATAGATTATAATAGATAGATAATAGATTCATCGATGTTAAAAAAAGTGATATTGATCATTGATGAGTGATAAGAATTTATTGTCATCAAAATGACGATGAACCATGTGCTGATACCCTGGCTCTTGGTCACGTGATAATGCCCATGGTTTCTATGAAGTAGGCTATGCTCAAGCCGCGGTGCAAAATGTCAAAAAAAAAATCTTTGTGTCATTTGCAGCTGTAGAGCATAATCAAAACAATTTTTACTAGTTGAAACATTTTTCAACTTTTATTCACCTTGCCCTTTTACCAGGTCATTATTATCATGACGATTTCCTTTCATATCTTACACACTCCCATGCTGGGGAGTATCTATTGTAAACTCTTTTGATATAACCATAAATTATCAAATATCTTATGAAAAAAGATAATGAAATTGAAATATAATAACAACGATTGATACTAAGGTTAATGCAAGCTTTTAAAATATTTTACTCGTGATTTTTACTTGTTATCATTTCAGAACTATTTTACTGAACTAATCAAATAAATTAATAACGTCTCATTTCCCCATGTGCACTTTCTAACACAACCACAAATAGATCGCTCGCTGCTGCGGCCGACAATAAGATAAATTTCTAACAAAAATATTTTCCAGTAAGAATGGCAAGCATGATGGTAACACAATAGTGAATTCCGAATTATCACATACAGGTTCTGATTATAAACAAATGAAAAAAAAATTACCTTGAATTTTTGATTTGTGTATTTGCCCCTGAGAGTTCTACAAATTTGTTCACACCATTCTGAAAGAAAATAAAAGTTATCTTCTGAACGTGTACTTCTTCTTTAAATATAAATATTAAGTTTGTCAGGAATGGCACAAGTTGTTTGTGCAATAATACACTAAACTTCTCTAGTAAGGTAATGCATATCATAATTATACATTCAGCACTGAATTTCATGAGATTTTTAACAAATAAAGTACATTTTACTTGACAAAGGATTTTGTCTTATATATAATAAAATTATTAAGCATGTTGCAGACCCCTTTGTCATTCTCATTTTTTTTTCAGGCCAGTAGGAAGCAATTTCAGATTGGGGGACGTGGCCAAACTGAACAATTGGAACGGGGGGGGGGGCTTTCAACTACCAATTTTTTTTTTGAAAAGCAGAAAAAAAAAGTCATCCGACGTTTTTATGAAGGAGGCACAAGTATACAAAGCAGCTAATTTGTCTATAGTATTCCATATTTCGGGAAAATTATTTCATAATAATTATTTTTAACCCACCACCCCCACCCGCTCTCTACCACCATGCATTTCGAATCTGAAAATTGCTTATATGTATACCTATGCAACATACATGTACATACTAGCTAGTTTAATGTATATTTAGCAAAATGTAATGATTTCGAAGTCCTTCCACAAACTGTACATTGTAAGAGGGAGAAACATTCTTCTTATGCTATAACACAATTAGCCCATGTGTTTGGATTAAGAAGACGTTTGTAAGTTTATAGTTTTATTATAAAGCCACAGCAAAGGCAAAAACAATGGTACATGAAAAGTTCAATTACAAAGATTTCAGAGCCAAGACGGTGAAATCTCACATAGTCATTGTATCACAATGGTCTCAGAGCTAAGTTCGTAAAGGCTCTCATAGTTAGTCTCGGAGCTAGGATGGTAAAAGCGCTCACAGTCCGTCTCGGAGCTAAGATGTTAAAAGCTTTTGATACTCAGTGCACACATCTTTTGTACAAGAAGTTGCATCATAGGATCCACATATTTGGTAATAGCTATTAGTTGGATTGAGTGTCACTTCATTAATATTAATATGGTCCACCCCTCACTGAAGTTCTATCTCACATCTCCTTATAGGATGCTGCAATGTCCACTGTTTACATTAACATTTGTGTATCTTGCACATTCTTCAGTTAATTATATGGCTGCAGCTCTGATTGGAAAGGGGTATTACTAAAACGCGGAACGGAAAACGGAACGGAACGGAAAACGGAAAATTTCTGTCAAACAAATAACAGATTCGATATAAATCAGATAAAAGAGCAATATTCCTGATGTAAAAGTCATTTCTAATAAAAAATTATTGTAAACTATTATATAATCATGAGTCATACACACCCTCCGTGGAAAAAAATGGTACTGAAAGAAATCCCCCTTCCATGAAATAGGATTTCCGTGTTTGGGCAAAGGACACATTCCCCTTTTTTGCTTGTCAAATTTGTTGTATGTAGGAATTTTTTTACTGACCCCCCCCCCTTTGCCACCCCTCTTTCAATTTGTTTCCAATGTCAATTTCTGTAAAGACAAAAATTACTACTGATGATATTCAGATTGTGCATGCAGTGTTGAATTCGCGAATCATGAAAGGGGAGTGGCAGTTTCGAGTCTGTGTAGGGGCCCAAAGCCACATTAAAAATTGATTTATTAAACCTTTTGTATATTTTGAACACAAAAAGGGAGCAGACCTATTACAACTTCTCAGACCTTTCCGATGAGTGGGAAAACAAGCTCATTTTTACGGGGTCACTCATATACACCCCCCTAAACATACACACATATGTACCGCAAACAAACATAATTGAACTTCACTGAATGCAAAGATTCTGCATTTTATCTACCTCATGAAAGTTTTCCTACTTTGTCTATCCAGAAATTAAATATATAGAAAGCTACTTTATTTTGAATAAAATTTTAACAACCAGTGTGTATAAGAGATGTTTATTCGATCTTAACATAAAGGTCTGCCCTTAACGTAATCTTAATAATTTTTTTTTACATTTTATTTCTCTTACCATGGTTCATCTAGATATCAAATATTTGTCCCCCCCCCCAGTCATTACCTTTTCACTACGGAAATGTTCGTTCAAGTTGACACCCAATTTTTGTGAATGTAATTAATGTAGTATGTTAGTGTAAAAATATAGTACTGAAAGATGTTGGAGTTAGAACTTATTCCCCCCTCCCAAATCAAACAATTGTTTTCTTTTTGTGTTTTATCCCCCCTCCCGAATCAAACAATTGTCTTCTTTTTGTGTTTTTGCTTGTCAAATACTTTTCAAGTTCGTCCCCCCCCCCCCTTTTCAAATTCGATTCTAGGTGACTGCTGTGTTAGTGATTTTCGTAAATAAGAGACTGAGCATGACAAAATCAACTTGTATTTAATAGTGGGGGTTGAATATGTACAAGATATATGGTTTATGATAAAATTTGTGTATTTTAAGTGATTTAATCCAAAATAATATATTCCGTTTTCCGTTCCGTTCCGTTCCGCGTTTTAGCAACACCCATTGGAAAGTGTCAATGTTCGAGAACAACTCATCGTTAAAACTAATTGTCCGTCAAATGAGGACGCACTCATATTGTATCGAATTTCCAAGAGTTTGTAAACAAGTTCGTAATTAGGATATTGTCCGTCGCTCTACACACTGATAGTATCAATTATAATTCATAACACAAAAACAAAACATAGATAAATGTACTGTACAAATTAATATATCAATGAAACTTATAATTTATAGGCTCATTGTGTTATAATGCTCCATTAAGCACCCCTTGCATATTGCTACAAGACAGATAATTGAAATAAATAATATACATTATCTCAAAACACAAAGTACAATCCAAAAGAACTTATTTAAGGCATAATTTATACCACATTATTAGTTTCAATTCATTTTCTTTAAATTTCCTAAGCTTAATAATACATGATTTATTATAAATAGTGACATATTATAAATATTGATCAGCTGTTGTACACCAGTACTGTTTAGATTGATTGATTGATTGGTGTTTAACGCCGAGTCGGCAATATTTCAGCCATATTTCGGCAGGAAAATATGTTAAATGATCAGTTTTGAGAGTTTTTTGGTTTCTCTGGCGGCCCCCAGTGAGCCTACTCTTTTCCGAAAACCGGAGAAACGATCTTTTGCGTGCCAAGGGGGTTGTTATCCTTGACACGGGGCACCTTTTTACGTCCCGGACATCCGACGGACTTAAAAATTTAAAAATATTTAAACAGTTAAAAATAAAACATGTTTTAATCAACCAAATATATTACACTGTGTACCATTAAATTTTACTGTAAAAATCAGTTTCATGTAAATAATCTAAAATTGTATTAACATTAACTTTTGTAAACAGTTCACGCATCGTTTGTACATTATTGAAAAGTCTACCTCGAATAGGCGAAAAATCAGTACATTCTAAAAGAATATGATTTATAGTAAGTGGACAGTCACATGATATACATTCTGGCTGTAATTCTGTATTAAATAAGTATGCATGAGTTATTTTTGAATGACCTATAAGTAGTCTTGAAATAAACACTTCATCCTGACGTTTAAGGCCAAAGTTAGATGATTTGTTATTTACTTTGTTCTCTATAGCATATAGTTTACTTGTATCACAAAACTCCCAATAAACTTGCCAAATAGAATTTACATAAAGTTTCACTTTATATTTCAGATCAGTATCAGGAATTTTAAAACAGGTTATGTCATATTGAAGGGCCATTTTTGCAGCACTATCAGCCTTAG